ACTGAGGTCACTGATTTTCAAAGTGTGGATAACGGATCAGAGAACCTTGAAGTGTATATTATTTCGTACCAGTTTTGGATGAGGTGAGTGTGGCAGTGTGCTTTTTCTTGTTTGTCATTTTGCACCTCATTGTATAGAATTGTTCTATCCAATTTCTTTTTCATTGATTGATATCATATGTGCTAACGCCCCCGTTCGTAAAGGTGAGACTTCATTGTGCCTCTGTTTCCGCCAGCTCGGCTCAAAGCTGATGCATGTGAGTCGGGGGCACACACCCTCGTGTCAGTGCGGGCTCTGCCCGGCGCTGGCACGCCTGTTGAGGGTTGTGGCAACCGGCTCGCAGGTACCTGGCTTTGTGCCGTACGCCACCTTGAGGGCGGGAAATCTCCTCGGTGAGTTACAGGACTACATCGAGGTAAATCCTCCGGCGGCACGGGAGGGCCCAGCACGGCCTCCCCCGCCTCGTACTGCTGGGCCTGGTCCACGAGTTGCTGAAGATCCTACAGGGACAGCCAGGCCTTCAGACAGCAGGGAGAATTCGACCAGGGCAGGACACAGGGCAGAGGCATCTACACGGGCAGTCGAGAATCAGGAGAACGAGCGCAAAGAAGAGGGCGCCAGAGAGAAGTCACCAGAGCGAGACCGGGATCCAGAAGGGCGACGTGACAGTGTTGAGATAGTGGACCGGCCGCCGGCAGTGCAAAGGTCAAGTCGTCACCACCGCCACAGCGTCACCATCCATCAGAGGAGCGAGAAACTCGTGTGAAGAGAGAGGAAGAAGGTGTGGATCGAGACGATTCCGCATTGGGTGTAAGGGAGGTTGCTTCTGGCTCTCCTCACCCTGAAGAAGAGATTCAGTAAGGTCGGAGGGCGAGAAGAAGAAGAAGAAGAAGAAGAAGAAGAGGCGCCGAAGGAGAAGGCGCCGGGAATCAAAGTCAGAGGAAAGAAGGTCTTCCAGCACTCCCAGGGCGGCAGCAAGTCGTCCATCACCACCGAGGCCTAGTTAGTTCACCGCCAAGACCATCCGGCCCAGCAATCCCTTGTTGAGGCGGCCTCCACCCCCTCCGCCTGATCGTCGGCAGGGGACCAACAAAGGAGTCAAGAAGACAGAGAGGCAGCTGGATATCAAGCAGTTCCTTGAGGTGAAGGAGATTCTCAAGGACAAGGAGCGGAAGGGCCGTTGATGCCTCCTCGCCCTCTGGCTCGGCCAGCGGCGGACGGGAGACGCGTGAGGAGGTTGGTGGCGGGCTTGAGGAGGCCTGCAGCTGCACCAGACGCCCCACCAGGCTTTGCAGAGGGAGGAGAAGTTGAAGTGAAAGATATCCCACTAGGTGAGTGGGAGCCTGGGCTTCAGATCCTATGTCGTGGGGTCTGCTGGTCAGGCTGGCCGTGGATGTCGAGGCAATCAAATTTGTGAGAGGAGCCGTCGAACTCGAACAGAGGCTGTCCGGAACAGAGGACGAAGTTTTGCTGAGATGGTCATGTATGCCCGTCCAGCTGTTCGAATACCCCGGAAGCAGATGGCTTGGTACGCGTCAAGTATGCCCAGCGTCGGCGGCATGGGGGACACTCCAGAAGGGAGTCTGGGAATCCAGCCAGATCGGAGAAGGGGAAGAACAAAGGAGGCAAGGGAGATCGAGATCGCCCAAAGGGGGAGAAGACCGACAAGTGAGACCGACCTTCAAAGAGGTGGATGAGGATGAAACCTCGGAGGAGCTCTGGCGGCTGATGGATGAAGCCCTGAATGGAAAGGATGCCAATCTATGCCCTATGGAAACTATGCCACTATGCCCGAGCGCTTGAAAGCGCGGTGTCAAAGGGTTCGCGACACTACGTGATGAATTTTGGGAGCTATCTTTTGCCGGAAGCTGAACAGGTACACACCCGTGCTCCTGTGGTCATGGTAGAAGACTCGCGATGGGAGCAAATTGTGGTTTGCTTGAGAAAGGGGTGTGTGGATTGATTGGGGAGGATGAGATTTTCCGGGTGCAGAGCATGCTGTTGTTGAATGGACTATTTGGAGTCCCCAAAGACCCAAAGATGAAGACTCACAAGGAGCGCCAGTTCATAGATTGATTATGAACTTGATCCCACTGAACCGTATCTGCCGACCAATGAACGGTGACATCAGCACTTTGCCCGCTTGGCCGTCAATGCACCCATTTGCTCTAGGCCAGAACGAGACCCTGATGGTGAGCTCAGACAACGTGAGACGCTTCTTTTACATCTTCGCCGTGCCCTCGGATTGGTATCGATTCCTGGCCTTTGCAGATCAATTGCAGAACTACTATCTCTGTACAGGGTTCTACCAATGGGTTTTTGCAACTCAGTTTCCCTGGCTCATGGCTCAACGCGTGCATCGAACCATTGTGGGAGAGGCGGTCCAAGAGTGCGTGTTTGTGGGGAAGCAGGATGGGTCGGGAGGCAGAGCATCGTAAAGATCGCAGTTTACCTGGATAACTTTGACGTGTTGGAGAAAGTTGACTCCCGGACTGCTGAGCGCATCCAAGAAGGGGAGACCCCTCCGCCGTTGGTTGAAGCATTGAGGGAGGCCTACAGAAGGCTGCAGGCCGCAGGCCCCCAGGCATCCAAAGAAGGCCGTAGCAAGGTCAACTAGGGCAGAGGTTCAAGGCGCTGAAGTGGATGGACAGAGGGGCTCTGCTGCTGCCTTGTTGTAACGCTGTCTGGTGCGACTTTGAACTGTGAGTGGCTGCAAGGTTCCTAGCTGTCCCCTTCTACGCTTTCTTTCCTCCTGTGAGCACCCTTCGACGAAGAGTTTGCCTGCTTGACTTCACCCATTTTTTGCGGACTGGACGCCTACTTGGGGCGTCCGCTGGGTTTTGGTCCGTAATGCCAACAAGGGAGTCTATGCGTAGTAGGGTTCGCCGTAGTTTGCGGCTGCTTGATCGGCCCCGTGCGAGGGCGTGCAAGCATACCTGCAAGTCCACCAAGTGAATGAAGCGGGTGCAGAGCCATCCCTTCTTGGAGAAACGCCATCTCAATGCAGTCAACACAGCGCGCATTTCCAGGACATTTATATGCTCAGCGGGTCCAACGAGCCAGTTCTTCCGCTGTGCACTGATGCAGACCCGCAAGCTTTCGCCCCGGGTCACCTCGTGGCCTACTCGTGGTAAAGGTCGGGAAACGTTCATCGCTGCATTTGCGCCGCCCAACTTCCAGGAATTGTTCCATCTCCAACTCTGTGTAGAGCTCCACCTTTTCAATGCGGCCCCATCCAACTCCAGCGCTCTCGGCGGCTCCTTGTCGCTGGCCGCCCTTCGTAAGGCCCAAAGAGATCACGGCTGGCGCTCAGAATCTGACCTGACTTCAACTCCAAGATCTCTCCCGTCCGTAACACGCCGTAGAAGCCAACGAGGAGAGAAAAGCATGGGGTATCTACCTCCACCTTTGTCATTTGCTGGAGAAGGGACGGGCCACCCAAAGTCAAGTTGAAGTAGTAGCTGGGGTGTTGGGAGCATTGAATTCAGTGTGGAGATTTGTACAAAGCTTTGAGGATGATCCCTTTACGCAAGAGCTTCCCCTGGAAGTGCGAGTGGAGCTGCGTCGCTTCTGTCTGCTGGTACCCTTGGCGCGCGTGGACTTCCGGATGGAGCTTTCGAGTACGGTCACTGCGTCAGATGCCTCTACTTTCGGAGGAGGTGTCACAATGGGACTGTTCCAGATGGGCACTATCGCTGCAAATATGCCCATTCGTGGCGACATGGCATCAGCGGCTTGCGCGTGGCAGCAGATGCCGTGGGAATGTCTGTGGTAGGACACGTCTCAGTGGAGTGCCACGAGCCTGCCAACAGGGTGTTGAGAGTAGGTTTCCTGGTACTTTGTTTGTGAGACAAGTTGAGGACGTCGATACTGACATGGTCAGACAGTGGGCTTGCCAGTTCAGCCAGGTGTCGGCAGTCATTCGTGACCATTGCAGCAGTCTCTTTCCCCACATTGGGCGTGTTCGGTTGTTGCTCCAGGAACACTTTCCCTTTGAACGTTTGATGGAATCAGTGGCGTCAATGGATCAGTGTGACCGGGAGGTCATGAGTGAGTCTGCTGGATGCACACCATACCACCTTGATTCTTCTGGGGTGACCGGGCGTGATCGTCCACGTCTTTACTGGCCGTCATGGGAGATTTACGAGTGCCAAGCAGCCACAATCCCCCGGGCCGTGACAGTGACAGTGACCTCGGAGCAGGTAATTCGTTGGTTGCACCAGTGGGTTGATGAAGCTCGCGTACTCCCCTCTGTCCTAAGCCGGCGCAGCGGCGCAAGCTTGTCAACAATACCCTTTAGGCCTTGGGTTTTTCCTTACAGTTCAGGCCTTACTCTCTTTTGGTTTAAAAAGTGGGGAACCATGGACAGACTCCTGCTTTACGGTCGGTGGCAGGATGCCCGGACCGCTCGGACATATGTGAACGACGGCCTGGCGGCCATAGCTTCCATGCGAATCCCACGGACAGGACCAAATCGTCGCTTCAGGCAAATCTTTTTGAATTCATAACATAGCTCTTTACCCTCGCTTGAGCCCGCTCGCAAAGCGATCAGGTCAGCGAAAAACAATGAGAGTGGCTCAGGGGGCCGTTTGCGTTTGAATTTTCCGCGAAAAATGTGACAAGAGTTGTCCTAAAAATGGGGATTATGGGCACATAATCTCTTTCAGTGTGGCGGAGAGGTTAACTGTTCGGCTTGGCGGCAGTTGCGAGGGGAACTGTAGAGAGAATGTTGTGAAGGTTCAGTTTGTGTTCCACTTTAATCTTTGACTAATATGGCCTTGCTTAGCAGAAAACAGAGCGTGTGAAGATTCGAGCCTTTGTGTATATATATATATATATGGGTTCGTGGACTTTTCGGGCCCCCCGGGGAAGCATTCATGTTGAATCATCTGATCCAACTGTATCAAATCCTTCGGCTATTCATTTGAATTTGATCCAACTGTATCATTTGATTCAACTGCATCATCTGCTCCAACTGATTCATTTGATCAATGCAGTTCATCTGCTCACAAATCAATCCTTTGCAAACAGATCAACCATTTATTTCAACTAATTCACTAATGCGGCTTGCAATAGTGAGAGACCGACTTATGACAATCATCCCATGGCGTTGCTGTCAACGAGGTCACAAATGCTTTCGTTCTTCCCTTTGTCCGGCAGGTCTTCTGTCCAAAGTGTCTTGCTCCATGTGGTTGCCTTTCTTGTACTTCTCCAACGCAATGCGGCTAAACTACAGGTGGAGCAAAATTCAGTCTGAGCTTCAGTCTATGTTTGGGAACAGCTTTTCTGACAAGACCATGCGCCGATGGCGGACATTATACCAGTCCTCTTTGCAGAACTGCCTCTTGCACCAGAGCAGCATGATCGTTGGTGCTACTCCTGGAGACGTCGTGGTCTTTGATGAGACAAACTTGGGCAGTCAACGGGGCATTTCGAAGTCATCATCATCTGGTCGTAGTTCAGAGAGAACAAAGGCCATGACTTCGCAACGTGTGGCAAAGAGACTTCCAGCGCAAACCGTTCACCGGCGTCCAGCCGCTCATCTGCGCCGGCCTGCCGCTACTCCTCTTCGTCGGCCTACTGCTGCTCCTCTTCGTCGGCCTGCTGCTGCTCCTCTTCGCCGGCGTGCTGCGGTGATGAAGTCTGTGTTCAACAAACACAAGGTGGGTGCTGAGAAGGACACCCGCTCCCAGGGCCCAGTTCTTGTTGGAAACAAGAAGACAAGACATACGCGCGAGAACGGAAAACACGTTTTTCCTTTACCATCTTGCCAAAGCCTGCTTTTGCTGCAGATCACAAATCGCGGGCTACTGCTTCTATGAAGATTGCAATCCAATCGTGCGTTGCCAAGCAGGCGTTTGTCGTACGTGACGCTTGGAAAGCATCCACTGCTGCCATCAAAAGTCTTGGGCTGACGGCGGCTCCGCCCATCAACCACTCCACTGGTTGGAGAGATGCCAATACTGGATTCCATTCGAATGATATTGAGTCCAAGTTTTTTTCGTCTCAAGACCATGGTGAGAGATCGGTATGGTAGATTATGCTTCCAGCCCACAGCTTCAAATGAAGCAAAAGACGAAGTAGATGTAGGGGTTCTGCGTGAGTACGTGTTCAGAGTCAACATTGGCAACTCATTTCAATCAACGCTGAAGGCCTTTGTTTTGTCATCACCTAAGCATTCATCTGTGTAGTCTGTCTGACCAACGGTATGGGTATAGATTGCAATGCAGTCTGCTGCAGTAGCTTTACGCAAAAAATGTCATGTCTTTAGTGTCTGCATCTGCAAGGTATGTTCTTGTAGTGGTTTCTGTGTGTGTGTTTGCTTGCATGATTACTTCAATGTCATTTGACGTTAAGCATATAGCTTTATGTCGTTGGTATCTGTATTTGATTACTCTGGTCTACCTTTGGCAGTTTGCATGTTTATAAACACTGACTACTGTTTATAAACGCACCACTTCTTCATTGATGAAGTTACCTTGGTAGTGACTGGCCCCAGCGCAAGTCTGTAGCTATGGGTTCTGAAGTAGAACCTGGGCGGTTTTCGTTGGATCTTCAGACTGTGGACCCTGTCATCTACCGTCCAGACCCAAGGACTGATGCTGAGCCGTCAGTGCCAGTGCCCAACGCCCATGAACTCCACCTGGACCTCGTCAATGGCCGCAAAGCAGCGTGTGAGTCAAAAAATGACGAACACCGAGACAGATTCAAGCGCGTATTCACTATGTCCAAAGAAGCTTGAATTTAGCTCCTGGCATTTCTGACCAGTGGTCTCGTCAAGCGCAAGATGTTCTCGACGCGTGGCTCTTGAAAGATTTCAGAGAAAGAATATGTTGGCGTTGGAGGACAAACCAGCTGCTGAAAGTTCCTGCCCAGAAGCCGTTGGCAACATCGTTCAGGAGGATTGCTCAGAAGCAGTTGAATGACAGCCAAAAGATGACGACATCTTTGAGGACGATTGCTCAGAAGCCGTTGAATCACAGCCAAAAGATGATAACATCGTTGAGGAGGATGGCATCAACGAGACAACCCCCAAGGATGGTAAGGCCAATGCTGCATCTTCACCATCTTCGTCTTCTAGCTCATCTTCATCGTCATCTGATCAAAGCACGCGTCGCAAATTAGAACTGCAAACTGCATTGACACACCTGAAGAGCTTAGAAGAAGTTCACCACCTCGAAGGTACGGGCTGTTGTCTGCGCATGATTAAATCTGCAATGAAGAATATCAATGCAGCTTTGCACATGTAGAGAGCATGTAGAGTGTCGAGAACCTGGATGGAGTATGAAAGGTTTCATGCAGTCTGTGTGCAGTGCTTTTGTGAGAGTATATATATATGGGCGCGTTTTATTAATATCTTCTCAATTGCTTTCCTGGGGGCCCCGAAAAGCGCGCGCTATATATATATATATGTTTCACAATAGTCTATGAAAGGATCACGATGACAATTTCATTATACTTTGATATGTTTGATACATTTTTCTAAAGTATAAACTTGCCATACTCTCCAAAATATCAAAAATTTAGTTCAGCTGCACAATGCGTATGCTGAGAGCGTCCTGCTCTGAATTTATTATAACCGTTCAACTGGTGTGAAGCTATGCCTTAGAATTTCATGTTTAACATATATTGTATATACATGCGTTCACTAATTTCGATAAAGCTACGACCGTTTGAGGAATAGTATATTCTTGTCCTGGTAAAGTACAGCAATTATGAGCATGCATCACCTAGTAATATATATATATATATATGTATACAGGTATTATTTCATTGGTTCGTTTTCCAATTGCAAAAACAACAGTTGAACATATGCATTGATAGCGCCAAAACATCTTTCTAATTTTGCAAATCCATGTTTTCTTATTTTGGTATTGGTACTACAAAACCCTCCGCCAATGTTCGAATTCATAGATCTTATCTCTCAAAATCTTCATCAAATCTAGCTTTTTATACCCACATATCCACAGCCATGTATATTGAATAGCATTATCGAAATACTTGTTCTTCTATGCATTTTGTTGGTTCCATGCTTCTTTCAAGCGCCATAGTTCATTATACTAATGCTTAATATTGTGATGTCTTTGGTATATGGTAAACTAGGGGTAATTTTTAAATCTCTATTCAAGATAGTTCTTGAACTTGACAAAATTCAGTTGTTTATATCACTGTTCTTTTAGTAGTCCTTCAGGTTCATTATTTAGTATGCCAATCGTTTTCATACATGTTTTGCGCACATAAAAGCTACAAACTACCTTCACAATATCATTTCAACATAGTGAAATTACTTTTTCAATGTTATTTATGTTTAACTTAAATTAATCCTACGAGTTCTGCAATACAGTTATCTAATGTGCGTCTTCTTTCATTGCAGTAACTCTCTGCGCTGAAATTTGTTGATATGTTTTCTTTGTGAATATTCAATGTAAAGCCACAACTGCAGTAATTTCAAGGGTTTTAGTACGACCTATAAACCATAGAGTATCACTATTTCCTTCTTGAGCAAAATCACCAAAGAAAAACACACAAGTTAATGTCTGAGCGAGACAGGGGCTTAATTTTTTGTGACTATGACGCACAGCCATGCTGAAGCCTTCCCAGCACAAGCAAGTAACAGCCAACATCAACATTGAGACAATAAAGAGATAGTGGTATAAGATAGCAGTACAATATAAATTATAAATAGGCAGGAAATGTGCAAAATGCGCACTACCACAGTCCCGTGTTCTGTTTTGGATTGGGCCTAGTTCACTCGGAGATTGTAAGTTGGGCGCGCTTGTGTTATCAATGCGCCGGAGCGCTTGAAAGGCTCCTGCGGCTTCATCTGAACGGAAAGTCAGTTTCTCCCATGCTGGAGCCTTGTGCATGCCATGTTCTGGGAAGGCATGATGAAACACTGTCAGCAAAAATCACGTTTCGTTGATCCGAGGAAGCTGGGACAGACTCAGAGACGGCAAAGTCAATGAGAAAAGGCCACTCTGGGATGTCAAATTGCGCAGTTTCACGGTGCTTGCTGTGGCGCAGAGGTAGGCAGTTTCTTGTGGACATGTTATTTTTTACACCCTTGGTTGTGCGGGACATTTTGTCGAGCAATGCAAACATTTCTTGAAAGTGACCTGCAGATTCGCAAAACGCACGACTACTATATATGCATGTATGTATGTCTGTATGTCTGTATGTATGTATATGCAAATGTATATGTATATGTATATGTGCATACTTCAGAATGTTCAAAGCTTTGTTCAGGGGGAAGGTATCAAATCTCCCCTTTCTCCCCTTTGCAGGAACTGCCTTCGTGCCCATGTCTGCTATTGCCCGCTTGCCGAGTGGTGATGACACTGCAGATGAGGCAAGGTATTATATAATTGCTCGCTCCAGTTTGTGCCCAACCATTTTTTTTTGTGCATGTGGCAAGCAGTGAGGCGGATGAGATCCGGCATGTTTCTTTCTCTGCAGCCACAGCCCACAGCCACAAAGGCTTCGCAAGGGTCAAATCAACGGATTTGTGCAGCTCAGGAACTGCAAGACCAGGAAGAAAGGCAGGATTCCAAGAATTCTGGCATCCGT